AGCATCTAGATTATACTGCAATCTAGATATGTAATCAGATTTAGAACTTTACTCAGTTACTTGAGAATACAGTTAAAAAGAAATGTCATTAAACATGTGGAATCTGCATATGTACTGAGGTTTGATCTTTGAATTTTGACAGCTGATAAAACTCACAGCTGACCTCTTGAAGAAGCTTATGTTTCAGTGTGATATTAGCACAAGATAAAAATGTTACCAAGTGTAACATCATGCTGTTCATTTGAAATTCACACAGAAGACCTCAGGATTGCACATGAATTATAGATTGCGAAGCCTGAGCCAGGTCTATGATTGTGTTTTAATATAAATCCATTTCTGAGTTACACCACAATGAATATAAGAATGTTGAGCAATAAAAACCCTGAGACTACTGTATAGACGCAAAGATCATTGGCAACATGCTATGTGATTTGTGCATTATTTGTGTGATGTGCCATGACACTGACAAATGGAATTGAGTGATTAGAGCTCCATGCTTCCAGTTTTAAAGGATGTTCCTTTAAGTTGAATTGATTCACCGGAATCATTTACTTTTGCGCTGCTTGGTATAGTACCCCAATAATCACTACTGCTTCAGCTCACATCTCTCAAATAGAGTATTTTTACTTTATTTAGTGTACATGTAGCAGGAAAGTCAGCCTTTTGCAACATCTTACAAGCTGATCTCTCTCTGAAGAGTTTGTGGTACTCTTGGTATTTTCTAAAATGCCTATCAAATGGGTCTTGATACCATAACTGATAACAAGACATTAATACAGAAGACCACCCACATTTTCGTGCCTCAGTTCACTCATTCAGACTTACTGAATGTTATTGCAACTAAATAGGTGGGATCGTCACTAGACAAGATGCCTATACCAATCCTTTAACTAAATCGGGGCATATTAAACAACAAAACCAGAAACATCCCCATCTGTATGAACTGCATGGACTTCTTTACAGCTGTCAACACCTCCGGAAGAGCAAGAATGAGAAACAGTTTACCACTAACTGGGACTAAATATCTCAGCTTGAACACTCCCTTCATGGGACCACAGAACTATATAAGAAATGTAAGTCAATACTCCAAGGTAAAACACTTCTACATGTTAGGGAAAAAATGCAAACAAATTCCAGGGCTCAGCAAGAGACAACAGCAGATGAAGAGACTCTACATTTAAACGGATTATGATTTTCATGGAACCTGACAGTATTTGAGGGCATGATGTGGCAGTTCATGTCATTAATCTATCATTTGCTCATTTTGCTCTTCTCAGCCACTCATTATATTACTGGGCATAGCTTATTTGCAGTCCATGCTTCATGATCCTGTTCCAGTACCATTTCCTTCTGTAGGAAATCTTCCTTTCTAGTTCTTCATTGGCCTTGTGCACTAAGGAGAAACTAGACCTGCAGGTGATATCTTTATCTCAAGCAGAAAGTGGGTCACTGGCTTTTCATAAAGCTGGGGATGATAGTTTCCCTAGATTTTTATCCTCACCTGCTGCTCCTGCATTTTTAAAAGCTTCAAGCATATCCCAGCTCCCTGGGAGGCACTTCCATATTATTTCCCTCAAGCAGGCCGCAATCGCATTTTCATCCTCCAGCTGGGAGAGCACAATAAGACTTCCCCCAGAAGTCTGTCAATGCAGATCATTTAATTAGGCCAGATGGGATCACTCTAGCAGAAGTGCAAAGCTCTTTTTCCCCTTGGAACCACTAATGCTGCCTTCCCAGTGTTTGGTTTAGGCAGTCAGGGGGATAAAGACATAATACATTCTTCGTACTCTGAAGAAGGCACTGAAGTTGTTGAAGGTTTAAGTATTCAACCTTAACTTTGTTCTTTAACTTATTTAACTCAGTGTTTTCCTATATTCATACATAGCATGAGAGTAGTACCATTATTCAGCTTGTACCGGTGGAACTCCATGTGTTCTGAAACAGAAGCTGCTCTTAGAATTGAGTACATCTTGATAGCTTAAACACAAAGGTTTATCCATATGCCTAAACAAGTACTACAGATCAAGCGTTAAGGCTATGTTCAGGAGACAGAAAAACAACTCTGAATATTAGCTGAAGTGCTTATACAACTTATTTTGCACCGTCATGATCTAATAGATCTATGATTGTGATTAAAGAATTTGAGTATTTGTAGTGTTAGATAGCCTGAAACTCACTCTTAAATATACAGAGCTTATTTCCACATATTCTTCTGTTCACGTTATTGTTAACTGACATAGTATTGCCTGGCTATGCATTTCTTACCTTAAAACTTATCCAAGACCAAAGAAATCTTGAGACATGTTAAATTTAACGGCAATGCCTTTAACAAACTTAAAACTAAGGCTAACAAATTCTCAGAAAACTCATTCATTTTTCAAATGATAACAATATTCAGAAAAGAAAGTCAGATTTGCCTATTTAAGGTAAAACTCTGCTTTGCTTTAAGCAAACATACATCCAAACTGAAGGCATGAAATACTAACTGCTTATCTGTTGTAGGTACACTGGTGAGAGCAAGGATATGTTCTTCCTGCTTACACAAATTACACCCACATGCTTAGATCTAATGCAGCCTTACAAGGAGCCTGTTAGTGAGAATAAGGTTCATTGTTTGGTATTTCTTAATATTCTTGACAAATTTAATGGGCAAATTTGCATGTATTGATCCTCTACAGATCTGAACTGAAATCACAAGCAAAATTAACATGGGCAACATTGACCTGAGCTGAATTCACAGCAGCAACCCAGTGCTGTTAGACCCATTATCCAGCCCCCAGAGCCTCCCATTCTGCAGTGTGAGCTCAAGTATAACACACAAACCAGACAGCACAATTCCCAAGCTGTGACTTCCAGCAGATTCCCTTACTCTTACCCTGCTCCCCATCTTTTTTTTTTTTCCTTTTTGTCTTTTTCAGACTTAATGACAAGGAAAGGCAAAACTTATTTCCTACCAAGGAAGGTAAACAGTAGCATGGGTCAGCAATCAGTACACCCCGTTACCTAAGGGAGAACACTCAGTTTCTCTACATTATCACTTGCAGCACAGTCACGGGTAAATGCAATTTAAGGACTACAAAAAACAGCTAGGATTTGCAACACACAGCCACCCACAGCCCTGGAGTAAACACAAATGTGCCCTATTGCAGTACCTGGCAGGCTGGATGCCTAAAATGCCAGTGAGGGAGAAAGCAGCCAAGAAACCCCATAAGCAATGGTGGTAGGATGATAGCTTATTCTAGTAAGGTACTTGCTAACTTTCCCCGTAAGTGCCTAGATTCTCAGTCTGTGAAGGCCAGAGGGCTCCAGTAATGAAGACGTAATTCGCTGTTAGAAAGCTGTTATCTCCCTAGCTAGACAGCAACTGAGCAGAAGTAATGAAGTAGGCATTTGGAGCCAAGTATAAAATTATGCAAGTAGGGACATAATATTTACATTCTTCTAATAAAATAAAGCTCATAGGAAAGCATTCATGTACACAGGACTATCCAAGACAAGGCATAGAGCTAGTAGTGTACAGGGACAGCCAGAACAGAGCCTAAGGGCAGGTCATCAGAGACAAGGGCAGTCACAGCACTGGCCAGCCCACTGCTTGTCTGCTGGGATGGCCCCACAGTGCTGGGGCTGGAGGCACAGGACAGGAAAATGGCAGCAACAGCTCCTGTTAGCAAGCACCAAGCAAAAGCAAGGCAACAACTTAGAATCAAGACTAACTTGAAGCCATATAGGAATAAGAAACAAACACCTCAACACAGCTTAAACCAAGACCAAATGCCCAGGCTGGAGCTTATATGGGGCTTCTGGGCCCACAGCTGGAGGCTACACAGTAGCAGTCCCATGTGAGGCTGCTCACTGCAATTAAAGGCTGCTAAAGTCAGTAATGACAGGGGAGGTGTAGGAACTCCAACCATGTCTTTTGGGGTGGCAGCTAGGAGGTATGCGGGTTAGCCTAGAACATCTTAATGGCATCAGCAATGGCATTAGATGCCTGGGCTTAGGCCACAGAAGCCCACCTGCAGTGACTAATTGCACTACAGGCGTTGCAGCACTTCCTTACTCCGTGTTAGCGGTGTGAGAATAAGTAAATTAGGCTGAGGGACACAGCAATTGTGGTGTGGGAAGCTGCAGGGGCATTTTAATTTGGTGTTGTATAGAATGGCATTTTCAATTCTGAAGGTAAAGCAAGCAGTTAAGAAAACTTACTCGTGCTTTACTGCAATGAATTCTTAAGTTATTTCTGACTGTCATGAAGCAAAAATAAAACAAATTATTTTGATATTAACTACTTTAATTTTCTTTTATAACTCTATTGAGGGAAAATTATTCAATAAGTAGTTTTCATTTAGAAATCAGAATGGAACACAAAAAAAATTGAGTCAAGAAATGTATGTAATCCTTTTCTTCAAAGAGTTATTGTTTTGACAAAAATGCAATAAATGGAAGAAGCATGCTTGACCAGTTGAGCTTTAATAGAGGGTTTTGTGTGGATTACGTAACAGGTTCTTAAAATACTGGTACAATAACTCGTTATTTTTCTTCCCTTTTTTGTGAATTTAAGAATGCCTTCCTGGTGTAAACTAGCAGTGGTGTTTTTTTCCTGTTTACTTAGCTTGCTGTTATGGCCTAATGCATCAAACCAAATTCTGAATTTTTTTAAAGGTAAGTTTAATTTAGTCAGTTGGTTGTACTTTGCATGAACACCCAAGACTCACACTTGAGATCTATCTAGGCAGCTATTAAGGTACAGAGGATGTATTAAGGAAAGCTAATAGAAAAAGTATTGAGGTTCTTGATATGTTTTGCAAAGGACATCAAATATGCTATATCTCTGCTTTTAATCATTGCTGACTGTGAGTTTACCTGTTTCTCTGCTTAAAGAATCTTGGGGGGGGAGGGGGAATGATTCCTCATATTATGATTTACAACTGCTTAACTCATTTATGCTGCTATTATTATTATTTTAAAAATTGGGTTTAGAGGTATTAAATAGTTGGGATGTAATTCAGGTGTTGTAGATGTGGTTGGTCAGAAGTCACGTAGTAGGTGTTCGTCTCGTTGGTGTGAGAGAGTTAACTGGGAAAGGCTGCGATTTGGTATAGGCTTAAAGCCTCTCTTGGGAAGTGGCAGAAGAATGGATCCTGTAGACTCACAAGTATTTTCTGAAGCTTTTCCTTCCTGGACTTTTAAGGCATACTCTCAGTACGTTTCCCCCAGAGCACATAAGAAATACGGTTTTCATGCATAGTTTGAAAGGTAAGCGAAGAAATGTTGCTAGACATATAAAGCTGTAAAATGGTCAGCCTGCCTTACCAAGATGCTACTGCCTACTTCTGCTACCTTGGCATGGGGGACAAGTTAAAGTCTCTGCTGAGTGCTAGGAAGATTCCCTACTCGATACATTTTTATTTTTTTTTCTTAAGTAGTAAAGGGCAATTTCCTAGAGCAAACTGGAGTTACAATTCTAATAGAAAGCAATTGCACCAATTAAATCTAACCATGATATCAGGGATAAAGCAGTGTATTCCCATTGCTAAGTTTCTGAGTGAAATGACAACAGAACTAGATACACCACGATGACAGAATGAGGAATATGTTCCATTTATTATCAGGTTCTGTTATGTCTTAATTCCCAACTGGTTTCGTTTCTCTAAGGCATTACTTAATGTGATATTCTGACTTCTAATGATGGCTAATACAGAGCTAGCGTCTGGTGTAAAGCTGTTATTTAAACAGTTTTAATTTGTTATGAATACATAAAATACATAAAGTACTTGATGTGCACTGTATCATCAGAACTTGTTCCTAACCTTTATTAATCTGATTAGTTATTTTATATGAGAGTAGAATTAGATGCTTGCAGTAGAAATGCCAAGAGTTAGATATGATGTCTTTATTCAAGAGAAAATCAGTTAATCCAATTTCTAAGAACATATGCTAGTTCTGCTGGTTATAAATCCTTTCCAAGATGACTTAAGTTTCTCTCAGCTTCCTCTAAATGCCTTTTCCTAGTAGAAGCTGAGAGTTATGTAATCATTCTGATTATATATTTTTTAATGAAACAATTATTATTTAAGTAAAAGAGCTAAAAATAGTCATATACTTGGATATGAGAAAAATCAATTGTTGGAAAATATTCAGATACAACTATTTTGAAATACTGTTATGGCTCTGAAGAATAGTAAAGCTTTATACTTTTGTCATGTAAATAACAAAATTCAATATATCTGTTTCACTGGAAATTGTTTTAAAAGAGCATCAAATGTCTCATGTAAAAATTCAGCTTGCAGCATTCCCCACTAGGGAAGTGACTCACTGCCTGCATAGAGCAGCGTTTCTCCAGGACTTCCATGGATGCTTTAGAGAATTACTGAGTGCATCCTTACATACAATTTGATCTGGGGAAGCCATACTCTTATTTTACAGACTGGCCAAGAGTTTCTTTATACTTAAAACTGAATTTGGATTAAGTTAAGGAGGTCAGTTGGAAGTGAAAATGCCATGAATAGAAGAGCATAGATAGACCTTTGCAAAGCCTTGTGGTCAACCACAAAGATGCAAGCTCGACTAGCTTCCCTCATCTTGTGCTGTATCCTATTAAGTATACATCCTCCAGTCTTGGAAAAATCAAGATTACCTAATCTATAACATAGCATCATTTAATTCATACGAAGTACCTGGTGAACATGTATCCAGTTGTCTTACAGCACAATGACACCAGTATGCAGTCTCATTTTTAACATCCACGTATCTCTTACTGTAGTAAACAAAAGTTACACATGTGGATTAAATACATTTTGTAGTGGGTGATTGATCACTTCCCATTGTTCACTGCAAAACACAAACTGTTAACTCTCTTATCCTCTGGATGAGAGCAAAGGCCAGGCTTGGAAGTTGGATATTATTGATGTGGTTTGTAGTTTTTTTGTGTTTTGGTTTGGTTTGTTTTTTTTTGAAGTGGTTACACATCAAGCCACAGTCTGTTTAATTCTTTAATAAAATCATATATATTTTAGATTGTTTTAGTATTAGGAATGAGTCCCTCAGACACTCTGGTCTGCTGAAACATTTGATTCATTTTGTACTGGTTGCACTTTTGTAATGAAACCCTGAAAGCAGCCAAGAAGCTTTACAGAGTGCTACTGAACGTAGCTGTGAATTATTGCTGTAGTAACACTCACAGAAATAAGCATAGCTTCCAGTCTCAGTGGAAGGTTTGTGTCTGCTTGGCTTTCCAGTCACAGCTTCTTACTCCTTGTGCTGCGGAGGCTGGGATTCCTGTGGGGGTGCTGGGCACAGTCTAGAAGGACAAATATTTATGGTGCCCAAACAGCTTTCTAATCAGCTATAAAGATGGGTGACTACAGCACAGGGCTTTGAGAGAGAAGATTTAAGTGAAGAAGAAACTACCACTGTATCTCACTAATGTGGCTGAGAATGAATGTTGATATTTGCAGGCAAACAGCTTTTTAAAAAATCATAGTAAATTATAGGAAAAAATGGCTTAAAAAAAAGAAAAGAGAGACCCTCTAGTCTATGCCTTTCCACAAGGAAAGATCACTTCTACAAAGATTTTCTGACAAATGTTTCTGCAACATGTTCTTCAGAAGTCTTCAGTGCTGAAGTAACCTATTATTGTTCTCCTCTATTCTCACTGCACAGAAGTTTTCTTAGTGTGTGGCATGAATCTCTCTTGCTGAATGCTTAGCCCATTATTCTTTCTTTTGCCCTCAGAGGGCAGAAGAACAATTTATTTACATAAAATTTTTTTTAACTCTTCCCCTTTTTATCTTGCATATAGAGAAAAGCCCTTCCACAAAATATACAGTCCTAATTCTTTCAGTCTTTTTCTTAGATGTTTCAGAAGACTTATGGTTATGTGATAATTTTCTGGTTCTCTGGTACTTTTTATTATTCTCCCGTTGATTTTATGTAGTTGATTTGAATCTTTCTCCAAAGTAGTGCTTCGATGATGTATTATTACATGTGAGACCTTATCAAGGTGGATACAGGAGTTATTTCATGCATTTCCTAATACGATGCTCACTTTAGAGCGGCAATGTGATAATACTTATTACAATGTGAGCTATCATAACCCTGGTATCATTATTTTGAAAATTGTATTTATTGTACTGTTCCCACATATTGTGGTTTTTATTTTTTTGGAAGTTGATTATTCCTAACTGTAACACTTTACCATTATCCTCACCAAATGACACCTGGTTTATTTCACACCTTTCCTCCAGTTTCTCAGGATGATCAGGTTTTCCAAACCCATTCTCTGAGCACTCAGCTTTTTCTCAGAATTTGGGTTTTCCTCCTAAATCTTGTTGTGCTTTACCTACGGGGGGGGGGGGGGGGGGGGGAGTAAAAGTGGATCCCAAGAAATATATTTGCATGCATTTGCACATACTGTTTTATTTAAAATACTTCCCTGTGTCTGGTGATATTTAGGACAAATGAGAATGTTCAGAAAATACGTGGGAATAGATGAAAAAGCTCATTTGGAGAACTTTGAAGTGAAAAGTGAGTAAAGCCTTTTGAGTTCCCTTGTATGGTAATATTCTTTCACAAGGAGAAGCAAGGAGAAAGTGGAGACAGGCGGTACCATCTATCCTCACCTGGAGATAATTGTTACAAAGAAGAAATGTGGGGAGCCAGTTCAAAGTTCACCTGCCCTTCGGTAGAAGTCTAGACACAGAAAGAAGATAAATAAACAGTGATTTACCTTCCCTTGGTACTAGGAAATGACAAAATCTCCATAAAAGATATTTATCTCTTACTGAGTTATCTCTCTGAAACTTTTTTGTTTTGTAAATCACTGAGGTATTAGAAGAGCAAGAGGTATACCTTTCTCAAGAAGCCTGTTGTGCTGCCTTTCATCTGGTGCGTTGCTAATATTCATGAGACATCAGTAACAGCAGTTGACTATTTTCAAAAAGCTGTGTGCAGAGAACTCTTGTCAGCGTGATACTTGTGGTGTGCTTTGGGAGGGAACTCCTGCTTTGCTCAGACGTTATGCCTGGCATTTGACTATCCATGTTCCAAAATAGGAATACCAAATAAAGTTGGTTTCCAAAATGGTGCAACTCCCTTGAGCAAAGCAGTATTTACAAGTACAAATATAGATTTGAAGTCCCACTACCATCCCTATAATACATGTTTTAAATGCTAGGGGCTTTTTTTTTTTTCGGGGGTGGGGTGGGGGGGAAGGTTGTAGTTATGTGTAAATAAAATGCCTGAGCCGTAAATAACAGAAGGGATCACAGTTGGAAAATCATGCTTTTGGATAGCCTTTGACTAGACCTTAAAAATACCTCTAGAGTATGATTTTAAAAAACAGTTGTCTTCATTCTTTTTCATTTGAGGAATCTTCAGATGCTTAACTGAGATCAGGTTGCCAGTGTTACAATTATGCACTGCTGCTTCTAGATGACCTTGAAATTATTGATGTAGGGTTACCAGTCCCTGCTTCTTTTGTCTTTACACTTTTGCAGTACCATGGGATTGATCCTGGTCCAGGCAGACCCACCTGGCACCTCAGCCATGACCACAAATCAGTTAAATGGTCTTGCCAGGGTTGCAGAGTTTTACAGATGGAAATCCAGCAGTTGCCATTTATAGCAGGCTGTGGAGAAAGCTTTGTGAAATGTGATACGGTAGGCAACACCACCCTTCTGGGAGTCAGGCCAGCCTGTGTGAGAAATGGGAAGCTGAAACACGTCATCACTGGGAAATAAGGATAACTGAGGAAAGGAACCTGGGCATACACTATGCGTAGATGGGCAAGATGGTAGTGGAAAAGCTCCAGTTGATCAAATATTATCATAAAAGAGCTATAGTTTCTAAAAGTTTTCCACTTGTGATTGAAATGAATCTGAAACTTGGAAACTTCAGATGTTATTTGGGGGAGGAGGGGGAGCTTCAAAACAACAAAGACATTTGTCATTCTGGTTTTAAGCATCACTCTAGGCTCCCAGATTGCAAGTATATTGCCTGTTTCACTGAGAGCAAAGGCCAAAATCTAGAAGTCCAGAGAGTGTCTTTACCCGTAAACTACTGACTTCATTTTCCTAAATCTTGTATAAATGTAAATTTGAGTTGGTTATTCAGGGACCGCTATACAATTTCTTATTTTTGGGGCTTAATTTAATCCTGACATTCTGAAAGCTTTTCATTCAAATTTTAGCAGAAAAATGTAGTAGAAAAGTACCTGTTTTAAATAAATAAACATGGTTAGGGATTATGTAAATAAC